ATATGCAGTCTAAAATGAAAACTTATAATAAGTAACTTCATAAGCATTCAGGTGATGGCTAGTGATATGTTCTCAAATCTACTATAAAGCATCGTATATAAATATTATGATAATCAAATTAATAGGTAATTAAGTATATGATCTATAATATAAATAAACTGCATTTGAGAATGTTAAGTGATATTATATTGAAGATGAGATAACTCATAGTGAATTCTCTAATATAATATAATATAGTCAATTAGTGATTCCATATAAGGCTATAATATAGTTAATTTGCATACCCTCCACATTAAATTACATATTCATATTTAAAAGTAAAATTTTGAAATACCAAAAATACAAAGTAAAAATTATCCTTTTCTTCTTTTCCCAAAACATTGGAAACACCAAAATTTATGTTCTTCTCCTATAAATTCAAAACACTCAAATTTTCTTCTTCTTTCTCTTCAAAAAATTTGAAAGAACACAATTTTTAATTATTTTTGTCTTCTAAAAGGTAAAAATAAAAATGTCTCGTTATGTCTCATTTTATAATCAAAGCTGGCAAAATTTCTCACTTCTTTCAACCATGAAAATTATTTTTCTCTCGTAAGAGATAGTTATTTATATATATACGACTATATTCAAGTGGCATACTACATGTTTTTCATCATATACGAGAAATCTATAACTTAATTCATAACAAATCACTTGAGGTACAGTTGTTTTAGTGTGGCAAAAGCCAAAAGGTAACATCATTTCGGTTAAAGAAAGCGGTAAGTTGAGTTCCTTATAAAGTTTTGCCCTAAACATCAATCATTTGAAGCTATAGAATCATTAGATTACCTACTATTAATAATATTTGTAACTATAGAGTAAGCTTCAGCCGCATGTTCTGATTTCGTGGCTAACCATGATGCAGTGATGGTATATTGCCATGAATTAAATCTTTTGAGGCTACAAATTATAAGCAGTGTGAAATTCAAGTGGTGGAAAGTAATTTAGAAGCTAAAAGTCTAATTATTGCTACAATATTCATTCTTCAAAACTAAAAACGAACACTAGCTATCTAGAATAACTTTTGTAGCACAATAGTCAAATAAAATTGCAATTAGCTACCGGGCGAAAGATTTTGTGGCTATATTGATACACTAGCTACAATTATAAAAATTGTGGCTAACATTTTGTGGCTATATGTATTGTTTTTAGTAGTGAATATCCACCGAGAAAAGTTCATACGCGTTTCGTATTATGAAAAAAAATGATAAAATACATCAAGTGTCTACACTGCTCAACAACTATCTCTACATATCCTACTAAATAAGTGTAGCTTGTAATTGTGTTAATCCTTAGGTTTCCAAAATAATGGGGATATAAGTAGCTCGTAATTTTGTTAATCCTTAGGTTTCCAAAATAATTGTGGTAATTCTTTTCTATAATTTAAGGGTGTACCGCTATCACTTAAATATCGGTTTAGCCATATACAAACTACTACAAAAAATTGGACAATCGTTTTTTCAAGTCTTAGAAGTGTACCGCAACATCCATGTATCCGCCACTGCCCGCATGGATAAAGACCACTTATTATCCACGGCGAATATGGATTGAGATCATCAAGACGTAGTCTTTGACTCTTTGACTCTGAATGCATGTAATGCAGTAGTGGGAGGCCCTAGATATTGAAGCGGCGACTATTTCCAAGTTCCAACACCTTGTCATTATGATGATATGTACCCTTTCCCCCACACCAATTAAATGCTAACAATTACTACAGAAACGGATATGGTTCGGTCCGGTTAAATTGGGTCAAATTGATTTGGTCCAGTCTTGGTTTTTTGAAAATATAAGGACCAAAGATTGGATTGGATACAGTCCGGTCTTGACCTAGTCCAATCCCAATTCGGTCTTGATTTTATATTGAGCTTGTGGGGATTTGAGTGGCCTAAGGCCTGAAAGGGTGAGAAGTTGGTTAAGTTTTGTACTAAGTGCAAAGGTTTGTGACCGTTTATGCAAATTATCCTTAAGTTTTGGGTGTTGAGCTCTCTTATCCGGTTTTTATCCAGTTTTCGATACGGTCCCGAAAGGTTTTTTACCTCAAATCTAAGCCCAAAGATTGGATTGGATTGTTTACTATCCGGTCCCGGTCCGATTTTGGTCCGGGTTATACAGTTCGGTCTCGGTCCAGGTTATACGGTCCGGTTTCAGGTAAAACCAAAAAACCCGGACCAAATAGCCAGCCCTAATTTGAATGGTAATCCAACCAAAGAGTCAGCATACCACTATAAATCACACCCTAAACCATATTAATTAATAACACCGGAAAACAGAAAAGCCGCAGCCATGAAAACTTCCGACGAAGGCGAGGCAAGCAAAGGAGAGAAGGAAGCTGTACGTCATGACGACGATGAAGGCGTTACATTGCTGGGAAGGTTGAGCATCGAGCCTCGCTTATCGACCCGTGACCGGAAACTTGTGATTCTGTCCTTAGGCGGCTTGCTCTGCGAACGTGTCCTCATACGAGAAAACCCCTCCAGAGTCTTCAATGCTCGCCGTCCTTACGATGCTGCCTATGGGAGCTTTGTAGGTTAGTTTTTTTTTAACAATAAGATAAGAAACAGGAAGTTTCATTACTGTATAATAAAACGTACTACTCTCTCTCGTTCTTCAGTTTATAAGAGGCCTCACTGCGAAACGTTTCTGAAATTCTGCTTCGAAAAGTTCGACGTGGCGATCTGGTCCACGGCAAAGAGGTTAGTACAAGCTCCCTTCGTTTTATCAGAGTACATCGTGCTCTAATTTGATTCAACCAAGTGATGTGTTGGTACTTGGTGACTTGGTATTAACTAATGACAAATGAGAAGTGATTGACCAGTTGGTACACAGAGAACGCTTTGGACTGTGTAATGACCGGGCTAAAGAGGAGCGGTCTTGTGTTTGTTTGGGTAATTATATTCTTGATTAGTATCCTCATTAATAACTCAACTAGTGATTTATTCAGTAGCCTTATTTTATAAAAAAATTTATTATGATCCGTCAGAATCAAGAACATGCTACCGACTCTGGATTCAAGTCACTGCAAAAGAAAGATAGACCCATATTCTTGAAAAGGTTGAGTAATGTTTGGGATCGGTATTGGAGTACTACTTCTGGTAGCTGTAATCGTCAATATTCAGCACTCAATACGTTAATGATTGAATTCGATGATGTACCAGAAAGGACACTCTCAAATCCTGTAATTTCATACAACCTCCCTTTTTTTTTTACTGCAGTTTCTGTAACTTTGTTCTAAATTTTTTGGGTGCTAATAATCCATTTTTCATTGTGTGATGCAGCCAAACACAGCTGTGTTTGCTCCTGAGTACAATTTTGAGAATGATGATGATAATGTACTAGGTAATTAATACCAACATTTGAGGTTGAAAAATTGCATTCTCTGTTTTGTCCACTTGATCTTTTGTGCAACTTACTTTAATTGGGCGGTTGTTTCTTTGCAGCTCCAGGAGGGGAACTGTGGAAGTTCTTGGATGGGCTATCTAGGGCTGAAGATGTGGGCTCTTATGTGAAGGCCAATCCATACGGGCCTCCTGCCATAACAGCAGCCCATCCCGAATGGGCTTATTACCAAGAGATCATTCATGCTCATGGCGGAAGCAGCTGATGAATGATGATATCATATTTTCTTCTTATTGTTTTAAATTTATGAAATATCTTTATGCTAATCATTTTATACTATGGGACAAACTAAATATTATTCGTTATGCTTTTCATCTTTCCTCCAATTCCATTAATAATCTTCCACCCAAAACAAAATTCCATTGATAAGCACAAAGGTCATTGGACATTGGCTGTAGGTATAGGAGAATTTGAAAAGTTTCATTGAATATGATAAAGCAGGACTTTGAAACCCTTGACTAGAAACACGTTCCTACTTCAGAAGATTTGACAAAAGAATTGGATTCACAAATTTACTGGGGTAGCTTCGTATGTATTAAAAAAAATTAATTGGTAATTCGGACACCACTAAAATTTGAAAAAACAATGATCTTACTCTCGCAGTTTGCGTATGATTGAAATATATTATTGGTATTCTGTGTTATTCAAACCTAGAACACTACTATTATTAAACAAATTCTTCATTAAGTTGCAACTCATTTGTCATTTTGTTGTTCTCCTTTAAACCCTATGTATAGTAAAAATGCAATTCCTTATCCCCAACTATTTTCAAAACCTAACAATCAAACTAATTTACCCTCAATTTTAATAGATTTTTTGATTACATGACAAGTGCTGAAAGAGTCTTTTCAACTTTGAGTTACATGGAAAACAAAGTTAGAAATCAGATATGCAATCAGTTCATGAATTATTGCCTAGTAGGATATACAGATTTGTTGAGTAGTGTAGATTTCGAGTCTATTTTATATTTACTTTTTTCAAAATATTAAAAGATGTCATGGTCTTTTTTTACAATTTGTAATAGTCGAATATTTTCTGATTTATGAATTGTTTTATTTAATTTTTGAAAGAGGATACCCCTATAAAAAGTTCATCAATCCATCGCACTGCTCATGATTCTGATTTGTACAATACCAAATATTGAGTCTTTTTTTACCATCGCTATGTAAAATCTGCTTCCACATCCATGACAAGCAACTTGCTCAGACAGATCTCACGCCGATTTCTGCTTAACTCTAATTATACATACAACATTTATTAATTTCCATTACAAACTAGACCATTCAAACTTTGGGATAAGTACATACACACACCGTACTACCACTTTCAAAGCAAAACCTTCATTAATAATTAAACAACCAAATTCAGCTTATGAGTATTATGCTGAAGGTCGACGACGAACACCTATAACTTGAGCATCAACCATCTGTATCCAGAACTTGAGTTTATAAGACGACGCAACAGACATCCTACACGAAGAGCAACCATACACACATAATGGTTTGAACCTTGGGCTCGGGGAGCACGCTGTGGGCCGGCCCATAGAAGAAAGATGGGCTCGAAATTCAGAAATTGACGATTCGGACGCCGAGATGCTTCTGGGCGAAATCGACAAGGTTGTTAATCTCGTTTGCGTCTATGTAACCGTTGCCGTCGGAGTCGGCTGACCGGAGCCCCTGCCGGCACTTCCACCAGGCGAACCTCCCTCCGGCGCCGCGAACGGCGTCCGACAGCTCTTGTCTGCTGATCTTGCCGTCTTTGTCGGTGTCGAACCTTCCCAACCACGCTCTGAATTCTTGCATCGTCATCTCCCGCTTCCCGTCCGTCGTGATGTTCTTGGGCTTGATCGCCATGTGATTCCTTTTTTTTTTTTTTGGGTTTCTTTCTGAGGGGTCGGAAAAGTTAGTGGGTCGATGTTAGAGCTTTTGGAGATAGAAGGAAGTGAATATTACGCTATATAGGGGGGTCTGAAATTTATAGTCCAAAACCCTAGTCCTTCTCATGCATGTTGCTTCACTAATTAAAAGAGAATATATCTAACTTTTGGTTTGTAAATGCAAAGTGATAGAGGGTTGAACTCGTTTTTATTTTTATTTTATTTTATTAGGGTGTGCATTGGGTGGTTTGTGTCAAGAATCGGTTGGTTTTGGATAAATGGTATTTTGATTGTTTGATCTCTAAGTTTACCAAAATTCACCCATTTCTATTCATCTACTATGTTATGGGTTCTAAAAGAAGTTATAACAGATGGATGCAAGTGAATTGTGGTTGGTCCTCGATTAATTGAACATTTGATTTCGAATCTGTAGATCTTAAATTCTCTTGTCTATTGTCTACTATCAAAATAAAAATTCTTAAAATCATGACAAACTTGCACTAATTTTAACGAAAATTCAGCCTAATATCTTCCTATTATCTTTCTAACCTGATTTCGAATCAATATTTTCTCATAGTTGCGTTACTCATGATAATTTCAAAATTCGTTTTGTTTCTAAAGATGGAAACCTATACCTTAACAACTCCTCCAAATTAATGTCTCTGCCCCGCGCGTAGATGATATTATTTTTGGATTAAACCCTGTTTGAAACTCTGGGTACTAGGCCATGCATCCTAGGAATACATGAACCTTACTAATTAGTATATTGTTCTTTGACGAAATTTTGGAGCCAAATGCATGTGTGGAATAACATCTCCGCTGTGTTATTCATAAATAATGTTTCTGTAAAGTTGGAATAAGAGCACCCATACCAGATAATCAAGGTGTTAAATTCATTAACATAGATGTGTTAGGCTTCAAGCCACTGAATTTTTTTTTTTCTTGAGAATCACCATATGATCACTCGAGAAAAACGAAAAACAAACCGTCCTCTTTAAACTAATTAAGAGGGGACAAGTAGAGGAACATCAAATTTTGGGATAACGCATGCCTGGCACTAATTGAACTGTCCCATTCCAAAAGAAATGGCTCGGACGAAAAGAGAAATGTCGTCTGTGATTCGAAATTGTGATGCAGACTCGCATACGTTACCTTGATGACTCACTCATGTATGTTGGCCATGGATGGCGAACAATCTATCACTTGGAACACATGAGAGTTGAAGTGAAAGAAATCTAATGCTGTTTTATCCAATATACATATATTCTCATGCTTTTATCAAAAAGAGAAGTTGGGAATGAATGATGCGGATGTATACTATATATAATGGAACACAAGTATAATATATGTAAAATTCGATAAAACGCGGAATAAGAGAGCGCACACACGACATCGGGATTTACGTGGTTTTCCCGTTCAGCATGAACGAGACTACTCCATGGAGAGCAATAAGCTCTCGGCTGAAAATCAATTATTAGTGTTCTCCCTCTCTTAGGGTTACAGCCGGCCGAACAAACAAATAAATAGTCTACCCTTCAACTCAACTCTACGTACGAATAGACTAATTACAAAATGATCCCTAATAAATAATTAAGTGTCATTAGGGATCACAACACTCCCCCTCAAGCGAAGGAATGAATTTCAAGAAGTCCAACCTTGCCAAGAAGATGATTGAACTGCTCAACACTGAGACCCTTGGTGAACAAATCGGTGGGCTGATCAGAAGTAGCGATCTTTCGTGGGGCAATGTCACAAGATTAAACGCATTCCCTCACGAAATAGCAATCCATCTCCACGTGCTTGGTCCGTTCGTTAAACATCGGATTAGCAGCAATATGGAGAGCGGCTTGATTGTCACAAAACAAAGGAGTAGGGCCAGAGATCGAGACTCCTAAGTCGCGAAGCAACCAACGCAGCCAAAGCACCTCACTAACTGTACTGGCCATAGCTTGATATTCCGCCTCGGTTGAAGATCGAGCGACAACTGTCCGCTTCTTAGTACGCCAGGAGATAGGTGAGCTGCCAAGAGAGATAAAATAACCTGTAGCCGACCGGCGAGACAGAGGACAACCACCCCAGTCTGCATCACAGAATGCAGTAAGAACAAGAGGAGTGGACGCCGGGAAAAAAAGACATCGACCAGGGGTTGACTTCAAGTAGCGAAGCACGCGCAGAGCAGCATCCTCGTGCGCTTTGGTAGGAGACTTCATGGCTTGACTAAGAATATTGACAGCGTCAGTAATATCTGGACGAGTGACGGTGAGATAGAGCAACCGACCAACCAACCTGCGATAAGCACTAGCATCAACTGTTGGAGGCGAAGCAAGCTTACCTAGGTGGTGTTGTTGCTCTATGGGAGTCAGACTAGGTCGTGCTGCCGAGAGACCTGTGCTGGCAAGAATGTCCAGAACATAATTTCTTTTATTCAAGACAATACCCTTGGGCGAGCGGGCAACCTCAATACCGAGAAAATACTTCAGCGGCCCAAGATCCTTGATAGTAAACTGCGCATGAAGATGATCCTTAACACGAGCAATGAAGGACAAATCCGTCTTTCTGGTGAACACAATGAACATCTACAAACCATGAATAGGTGCAGTAGCTAGGAGGAAAACCAGCACTAAGCATGTTGAATAAGTACTCTTTAGCGCATTTCATATCTCGTGCCTTGCAGAACCCATGAATCAATGCCTTGTATAAACTGGTCAAGCTTCAAACCTGCTCCAATCATCTTGTCTTTCACCTTCAAAGCCGATGCCATATCTACTATTTTACAGTACGCATTGATTAAGGTGTTGCATGTAACATTATCTGGTTCAATATTTCTTTCACCCAACTCGATCAAGAGTTTATTTGCATCCCTTATCCTTCCTCCCTCACACAACTTGCGGAGAATTGAATTATAAGTGACAACTGTGGGATAGAGCCCTTTATCAGCCATGGAATCTCGCAAACTCAAGGCTGATTCGAGGTCATTCAACCTACAATAACCATAAATTAAAGTGGTATAAGTCACATGGTTAGGGACTGCATCTTTAATTTCCTTAAAAATCCTCATAGCCTCCCTCATTCTACCTTCTCTACTGTATGCATAGATCAGAGAATTATAAGTCTCAGGAGCAAGATCACGATAGGGGTATATGTCTTCTAAGAACTTGACATCGCGTGAAGTATAAATATTCCGATGCTCAATGTCATAGATACGATTGCCTCGCTGTGTAGCAGGATATCCAAGAAAGATTCCAGCTCTCCTACGATCAGAGAACTTGTGAAGACCGTGATGGTTGTCTTTGGCATAGACAAGACAACCAAAACTTCGGAGATGCGTATAAGGAGGATCCGATCTGAACAGAATCTGATAGGGAAACTTATTACCAATGCTAACCAGGGGCATTCGATTAATCAGATATGCCGCAGTCAAGACACATTCACCCCAAAACTTCAGCGACAAATTAGCATGAACCGCAGCGCTCTAGCCGTATCAAGAAGATGTCTATGCTTGCGCTCTACCACTCCATTCTGTTGTGGAGTGTCAGTACATGACGTTTGCAGAACTATATCGTGCTCCTCATAATATGCTAGCAGCGATGTAGTAGCAAACTCTGGGTCATTATCTGCCTGTATGCGGCAAACCTGCTTATCGAACTGAGTTCGAACCATATTACAGAAATATATCAAATATCGGCTGACATCTGACTTGTGACGCATCAAGAAAACCCAAACTGCACGACTATGATCATCAACCACAGTTAAGAAATAATGCGCACCAGAAGTAGAAGCTGTTTTATAGCTGCCCCAGATATCAATATGAATAAGTTCAAAAACCGACTTCGTTTTAATAGTGCTCAACTCAAAAGAATTCCGAGTCTGCTTAGCTCGTAAACAAGACCGACAAGGTTCACGAGACTAAATCAAAGGACAATCTATTAATTTCTCCAAAATAGTAAGCTTCGCCGATGATGGATGACCCAGCCTAGCATGCCACAGCTCTGCAGTGCTCAGTGACCGTCGAACCGAATGCGCAACCGGATGTGCCTCATCGAACAGCTTTAGATAATATAGGCCATCTACATGCTTACCCATCCCAATCAGCCTCTTGGATGGTAAGTCCCGAATAACACAGAATTCACTCAAGAAGATTAACGCAACCGGAAGATCTGCTGTAAGCCTACTGACAGATAGCAGGTTGCACTGAAAATCAAGAACATGAAGTACACGACGCAAGTGTAATTCATTAGATAATCGGCTTGTTCCAATACTGTGAGCTTTAACACCTGTTCCATTAGGAATTTTGACTTGTAAAGTTGGAGACATGTCCAACTCAACATCCAGCAACGAATTATTATTGACAATATGTTCAGTGCAACCTGAATCAATAACCCAAGTGGAAGGGCTACCAGTAAACTTACCCGCCATATTAGATGAAGGCTCCAAGGCTTGTTGGGAGGATTGGCGCAAATCGCTGATGAGAAGCTCCTTCAGCTGCGCGAATTGGGACGAGAAGATGCCCGACAAAGGACTGGTTGGCCCATCGACCTGCGCTGCAAGGGAACTTGAACGACTCCCTTTCTCGGTGCGGCGCTTGGTCTGATCACCCTTCTCCCCATTCTTCCCAGGGTATCCTATGAGACGGTAACATGTCTCCTTTAAATGGAAGTCCGCTGACAGTGAGAGCAACGAATCTTTCCATCAGCGTCGCAGTCTTTATCCCGATCCCGATCACGATCCTTCTCTCGATCCCCATGCGAAACCGAGCGATCCCAGCGACGCTCCCCCTGAGCCTGAAACGCAGCGGCTTCAGAACGTGGCCTTCTGCTCTGTGATATCTACCGCTGTTGTTCATCATTTATGACAAGCTGGTATGCTTCTCCAAGCGATGGTACTAGCTTCATCGCTAGAATTTGGGATTTCACGGTGCTAAAAGCATCGTCCAGCCCCATAAGAAAATCAAGAAGGCGCTCTCCTTCACGTACTTCTCGTTGCCTGCGCTTCACGTCGCAATGGCATCCATTACACGTGCAATCGAGCGACAGCATGATGGAGTGCATCTCGTCCCAGTAGCCTCGCAACTTGCTATAAAATGCCGACACAGACATCTTCTCTTGTTGGAAACTATTGATGTTGCGCTTAAGCTCGTAGAGTCGCGACGCGCTTCCTTGTCCAAACCGAGATTGCAAGCCAATCCAAATCTCACGGGCAGTGTTCGCAAACCGTACGCTGTTGCGTACTTCCTTCGACATGGCTGTCTTCAGCTAGCCTTTAACCATGGCGTTACAACGCTGTAAAGCATCTCTCTCAGCAGATGTTGTTGCTTCCGGGAGAGTGCCATCCACAAAACAGATCTTGTTCTTCGCGACGAGGGAGTTAGTGATGTCGACAATCCACTCGCCGTAGTTAACATCCGTAAGAAGCTCTCCAACAAATAGATTGTTGGGGCTCTCCGACTGGTGAAGATGCGACGGCAGCCCAAGCTGGCTATCATCAACGACCGATTTCAGCTTTGATTGGTCGGCGCTTGATTTCCCAGACTTGGTAGAAGACTCATCGTCGGAAGCCATGATTCAACCTGCGATCAATCATAGCTCTGATACCATGTAAAATTCGATAAAACACATAATAAGAAAGCACACACACGACACCGGGATTTACGTGGTTTCCCCGTTCAGCATGAACGGGACTACTCCACGGAGAGCAATAAGCTCTCAGCTGAAAATCAATTATTAGTGTTCTCCCTCTCTTAGGGTTACAGTCGGCCGAACTGTAAAAATTGATAGTGCGGAATAAGAGAAGAAGAAGAAGTTTACGTGGTTTCCCCGATGAACGGGACTAGTCCACGGCGAGCAGAGCTCGAGATAGGTTTTTCACTATACTCTGGCCGAATAGAAATCAAGGCCTGATAGGTTGCAGGTTACAATACCTCTTGCCTACTAATACCAATGCAACGAGCTAACCTAGGGTAATTAGTGGAAAATTACAAGAATGGTACTATAACAAAACGGGAACGTCAAATGACGTCCCAATACTCCCCCTCAAGCGGAGGCATGAAGGTCACAAATGCCCAGCTTGGACAAAAGTGAGTGAAACTGATCGCCACCCAAGGCTTTAGTGAACATGTCCGCTAACTGAGAAGCAGAACTGATCTTCAGTGGAGCAATGGCACCAGTGACAACGCGTTCACGAACAAAATGACAGTCCATTTCCACGTGTTTGGTACGTTCGTGGAAAACAGGATTAGCTGCAATGTGAAGTGCAGCTTGATTGTCACAATGTAGGGGAGTGGCGGCATGCTGTGGAACGCCCAGCTCAGTGAGAAGAAAACGGAGCCAGATGACCTCACTAATTGCACTAGCCATGGCCCGATACTCGGCCTCAGCAGAAGAACGGGCAACAACGCGCTGCTTTTTAGTACGCCAGGAAACAGGAGTAGCACCTAACTGGATATAGTAACCCGTAGTGGAATGTCGAGTAACTTGACAACCACCCCAATCAGCATCGCAATAAGCAGTCACGGTCAAAGAACCACTAGAAGGGAAGAAAAGGCCTTGACCTGGAGAGTTTTTGAGGTACCGGAGGACGCGATGCGCGGCTGTCACATGTTCAGCACGAGGGGCATGAGCGAACTGGCTCAGGATATTAACTGCGTATGTGATGTCTAGCCGGGTAACCGTGAGGTACAGCAAACGACCCAGTAGTCGACGGTAGGAACGGACATCGACAGCATCATCCGTAACCGAGCCAGGACGAGTGAGTGTGTGATTCTGTTCCATGGGGAACAGACTGGGCCGGGCAGCAGTGACACCTGCATCACTGAGAATATCCAGGGCGTACTTGCGCTGACTAAGAACTACACCAGCAGGAGAACGGGCAACCTCGATACCCAAGTACTTCAAAGTACCGAGATCTTTGATGCTGAACCGATCATTCAGAAACGACTTAACACGGGTGATGAACGGCGCATCGTTACCAGTGAGAACCACATCATCCACATAAATGAGAGCTGCAACAAATGACGTCCCACGGCGGTACAGCAACAGGGAATGGTCCGCACGGGAGGGAGAAAAACCAAGTTCAGCAAGGGCAAGGGTGAACTTGTTGTACCAGTTCCTAGAAGCTTGACGCAGGCCATAAAGAGATTTACGGAGACGGCAAACTCGAGTATCACCAGGTTGAGCAAAACCGAGAGGAACTTTCATATAGACCTCTTCCTGGAGATCGCCATGAAGGAAGGCGTTGTTGACGTCCAACTAATGAAGTGGCCAACCCTTACTGACGGCAACGACGATAAGAACGCGAACAGTGACCAACTTGGCCACGGGGCAAATGTATCATGAAAACCAACCCCCTCGACCTGCGTAAAGCCCTTAGCAACAAGCCGAGCCTTGTAGCGTTCGACTGACCCGTCTGGGTGGTACTTAATCTTGTAAACCCACTTCGAGTCTATGGCACGTTTCCCGGGAGGCAGAAACTCCAAAGTCCAAGTCCCATTGGCCTCCAAGGCCATGATCTCTTTATTCATGGCTTCGCGCCAGCATGCATGCTGCACAGCATCACGAAAATGGGAAGGTTCCACAACCTGTGCAATGGTAGCCAAAAAAGCACGATGAGTGTAAGAAAAGCGATGATAAGAGACATGATTGGAGATGAGAAACGTAGCTGATGTCGAAGTGGAGGAACCCGGGAGCTCAACATCATAAATGTCGAGCTTGGAGGGCGGCCGACGAATACGGTCGCTGCGTCGAGGAGGAGGTGGTGTAGGCTGTGGGTCGGTGCTGCTATAAAACGGTGAGGGAAGTGGGGAAGAAGCAGGGAGATCGCCGGCGGAACCATCTGGAACTTCACTTTCACCAGGCACAACAAGAGGAGACACGGGCTCGGTGGCCAAGTTATCGGGCAGGGGAGAGGCAGTAGCATCACCGATGTCGAAGCTTTCCTCAAGATCATCAATAGTGTGAGCATGATGATCAACCAAGGGGTCGAGCTCCCCCTCAAGACATGGCGTGGAGGATGGCGGTGCCTCGCGGGTGACAGGCTGTGACGGAGAAGAAAGTCGGAAAGGAAACTCATGTTCAA